ATTTGTGAGGTCTTGGTCCTTAAACTCTAATATAATTTCCATATTAAAATTGAAATTATAGTTAAAAAACTATTACAGATTGTACACTAACTTAATGCTTGAGATTCTTTACTTAAACAAAGAATATGAAAATGAGACCATCTAAAAATAAAAATTTTTACCTTCAGCTATCATAAAATATACTTAAATTATGTAGTACAAAATTTATTTTTATATAAATTTACAAAAAAAGATGTTATATTTTGACAGTTTTCTATATAATCATATGAAAAATACACTGTATTGATCATTTCTGTTACATTAAATAAATTATTTGCTCAATATAATTTTAATATGCACATCAACTGATAGATTTGCCTTAATTCTTAGTAAATTTATTAAATTATAAATAATAAAATTTGGAAATTATAAAATAATTAACCTCTTTAATATATTAAAGTCAATATTAAAAACCAGTATTGAAGGCCTCTTTGATATATTAAAGTCAACCATCCTGTTGTAATGTGAAAATAGAAACTTATTGATAATTTAAAAACAAAGAAAACTCTAACCAACTAAAGGAAAAAAAAGAAATTAATGATTTATGGATTTTACAGATAACAAGAAAATAATTAAACAGAAGATCAGATAATAAGATAAATTAATGAAAGGCAATAATAATAATTATAGAAATAGAAAGATTGAAAAATATAATAAAATGAATAAATGGAAATTAAAGACGATGATAGAAAAAATATATGATATTACTAATTAAAAAGAAATATGAAAATAAAGAGGAAAGAAAAGATTTGGATCCTACTAATAATAAGAAATAATCAAACAGAAGGTCTAATAATGTGAAATCAATAGAAGGAATAAGATGAAATAAGAATAATAAAAGTGAATTGTAAGAAATTAGAGGAAGATGAAAAGGATAAGACAAACAAACCGAAATAAATGGAATAATGATAATTAGATTCTTAGATAAATAAAATAATTTGTAAAACAAATCCTTTTGAAGATGAGTGGCAGAAATAGTTTAGGAAGGTATAGCTCTTGTTAAAGCTATTGAACTCATAAAACATCATACATTTGTAAATAACAGGTTTTGACATTTACAATGTAAAGATAGTAAAGAGCACTACTCTAAATAAGTTAGAAATAGATCAAAAAATCAAAAACAATTAATTAATAAATAGATTTTTATTATATAATTTTAGTTATACTATTAATTATATTTAAAAAAATTTTAATTTATAAATAAAATATAATTTTATATAATATATTATATTTTTATTTATATAAGATCTTTGTAATAGAATGTAAAAAAAATATATAAAATGAATTAATATTAAATTGTTTTTCTAATTTTGCTTTTCTTTCTTCAATTTGAAAATATTTTAATTTAAAAATCATATTTAGCATATTAATTTTTTTTAACAGTTTTTTCTTTTTCTATTGTAAAATTCCATATTTATTTATAAAAAACTATTAAAATTTAGATGATATATTATATAATTAAAGTATATTTCTTAATTGTAATTATAGTAGCTTTTAAAAAAAATACATATGTTAATTAATTACTTTTAAAAGCTAATAATTTATTAATTATAAATACTAAAATTATATTCTTATATTTATTTTAAAATCTAAATCTTAATGAAAATTATTTAAAAATTTAATATCTAATTAATAATACCAATTTTTAAAAATTTAATAAATTACATCAAAATTTCTTACTTAATAAAATTTTAAGTATAAAAATTTTTAAGTAGACTAGTTATTATAAAACTTATATTAAATTCTAATTTCTTTAATGCAATTATCAAGAAAAAAATAAATAAATATTTGTAGTTATTAATAGTATAATAATAAATATAAAAAAAAATATATTACTAATATTATAAAAAAAAAAAATTAGAAAATTTTAAAGATCAAGTAATAATAATTTTCTTAATGGTTTACATTATCTTAAAAGTTTTATTAAATTATTAAAGATATTATTATTATATTATAAGAATATAATTTATATATTTTAATGTATTTTATGTAAAAATTAAATAGATTAAAAAAATAAAAATTTCTTTATAATATAAACTAATTAATATACTTTCTTAATAAAAGATTTTGTAATTAATAAAAATTGAATTTAATTATTCATTATATAAGCAATATTTATTTTGAATTATAGATGATATATTTAATAATATTTATCAGTTATATATAATACTACTTAATTTTATAATAAAAAATGAATATTCTATTTGATTTAAATAAATATTAATTAATACATTATATTTTGTATTCTTAATATTTATAATAAGCAAAGTTTTTTTTCATTTAGAATAATATTTAATTATATAAACTTACTTTTAAATGTAATAATAATAAGTAATTAAGTTTATATTATATTATTTATTTATCTTAATATTTTTATCACCATATAAAATTTTAGAAATAATTAATATATTAAAACTTAAAATGCTTTTAAAAACAGATAATATTGTTAAATAATTTGAAGAAATTATGTATATAAAAGAATTTGTTAATATTTTAAAATTGGTAATATTATTTTTTATTTTTATTACAATTGTGATTGAAATTTCAAAAATATAAAATATTATAAAGTTTAATATAAATATTAAAAAATTTTAGTTAACTAAAATTATATAAGTATTTATATAATGATTATAAAAAAATAACAGAATATTAATTATTTTTAACTTTTAATATTTTATATATTTTAATATTCTATAAAAATATTATAAAATTAAATGTAATTTTATTATTTTATAAAAGAGTAAATTTATTCATTATAAGCGTAATATCATTGCTCCTTTTTGTTATCTATATATCATATCCCTTCCCTTTTTATTTTTCATATATATTTTGAAGACTTAGAAATTTTTTCATGCGTGAAACCCTATTTGTCACATATGTTAGTATCACATGGTTTAGAGTTAGATTAAGGTTAGATTTAGAGTTAGGGTAAGGTATATATATATATAAAGGCGATGTATAAGAAGTATCTCTTCTATGATAAATAAATTTACTCTTTATAAAATATTATAAAATTTTATTATATAAATATTATTTTTTAAAAATTTATAAAATTAAATAAACTTTATTATTTAAGAAAGTTATATATAGATAAATAAACTTTTATTTAAAAAAAATATATAAAATTTAAATAAGACATTATTATTTAATAAAATTTATATAATAAATAATATATAATATTTATGAAAATAATCATTTCTTATAATATATTAAATGATGGAAATTTATTATTTAAAATTTTATACTAATTAGAATTTTATTGTTTGAGATTTTAATATTTAGAATTTGTTATTCAAAATTATAAGTTTTGGAATTTATATTAGATTCAAAAAAAGTATTTTAATTTTAATAAAATATTTAAATAAAATTTAATATATAAATAGAAAAGGATAAAAATTTTATAATATCTACTATAAAAATATTTAATAAATCAATAGTAAATATTATATTTTATTTATTTTATAATTTATATTTATTAATTATATGTATAAAACTATTTAATAATTAATAAACATACAATAATAATAAAATAAAAAAAGATTTAATAATAAATTATTATTCATTAACATTTATTTATTATAATAAAATATTTTATTTTATTGAATTAATTAATACATTTTATTTGAACACAATTAAATTCTTTTATTATTAATATTTAAACAATTATTTTTATATATAATAGATTATTTTATTAATACAAATTAAAATTTATAAAATACTATCCCTTAAACTATAAGTATAAAATTGTTTTTAAACATTTTAAGAAACTTAAAATATTTTAATATTTAATGATTATAAAAAAATGAAATAAAATTTTTAGATTTATCATATTTTGATATATCTAATGATAGTATTTTTAAACTTTTAAAATTAATAATTATTAACGTTAATATACATTAATATTTTAATTTTTAAAAATAATTTATTATCTAATAATTATAAAACTATAAAATTTCATTTATCAGATTTATTACATTAAGATCTATTAAATAGTAGTATTTTTATATTTTTGGGATTGATAGATAGTAAGATATATGAGTTTAAAATTTTAATTTTTTTTATCATAAAATTTATTATAAAAGGATTAATTTTTTTAATAATATATTTTAAAATATTTAAAAATAATTAAAAATAATTGTAATTAATAAATAAAATTGCTTAAAAATTTGTAAGCAAAACAATTGAAAGGATAATAAAATATTTGAATTTCATAGTAAAATAAATATTAAAAATGCATTTGTATCATTTTTTTAAATAAATTATCCATTTAAAATAAGATAAAATTTTAATTTATTTATGTTAAATATATAATAAAATTAATTTTATTAATTTTTAAAATTGTTTATTATAATAATTAATGAATATAATATTAAATATATTTTTTATTTTTATTAGTAGATTAGATAAATACATAAAAAATAAATTTTAAAATAAATTTCATTATTTTATGTTATTATTATTTAATTGAGAAATATTTGTTTCTTTATAATTAAATTTTTATAATTTATAAAAAGATATCTCTATAGGTAACTAACAAAGTATTAAAACTAGAACCGAATTTTAACTTTTTTTAACACATATTAGGTATAATACCTATAACTTTTGATGAAAGAAACTATATATCATAGAATGGCGCTACTTTAAAATAGCAGCAGGTCAATACTATATCAATTACAAATGAGAATTTCCAAATTTTATGAAGGTTTAAAATTTTTTCGGAAACTTTTTGAGACATACTAAATATAATGAATAATACTAAAGAAATTCGTTTAAGGTAATTGACGTTATTTGATTATTTGGATTTAAAAAATCTCCAAGATTTAATGAATAAAAACAACTATATGATAATTTTATACAAAATAATATGTAAGTTTTAGATATTTACAAATTTATTTCCAGAAATTAATAAATACATATCTGTTAAATGAAATCTATTTTCATAAATAATTACAAATTCTTGTTTAACTAACAATTCTACTAAATTTTCTAGTATATTCTAGAGAGCTAGGTATGGTTAATTCTAATATATCTTTCCAATTTCTTTCTTCAACAAATCCTCCTACATCTTCATAGTTTTGCAATCCTCCATTTTTTAATTTTTTATTATTTCGTACTTCTTTCCCATATTCATTCTTGTTATAATCATTTTGAAGTATTGTTGAGTTACGTATGCTAAACAAATCATAATCGTCGTATAAGATATGTCTCCGACTTTTAAATCCTGTCGAATTATCATCTAATAGACTTTTTTGTAAAAGATTAGTGCCAGAGGGTATGTCTTCGTCTAGTAAATGACGTGTCTTGGTTTTAATGTTTAGGTTTGAATAGTCTGATGATATTGGTGAGAAGTTGACTAATGGAGGTTCATCATCAAAACTTATCAGATCAAATTGTTCATTGATTGTGTTATATGTATTTGATTGTTCATATGATATTGGTGATTGTGATGATTGAATTGAGGAGGAGGAGGAGCGAGATAGGATAAAATAAGGAGATGATGATAATTGTGATGATTTATTCTTCAAGGAATTTTCATAAGATTGTGTTTGATACTTATTCATCATAATCCAATTTAAATGTTTGATAATAACACTGTTGGCAAAGGTAACTCTTGTACCATCAAAATCTTTTTTTGTGGGAACAAGATTTATTCTATAATCCTTATTACTATATGATTAGAAATTTTTTTTTGGTTAGCAAATCAAATATATATATCCATTTCCACAAAATAAATAACCCAGAACTCACAAAAATCGCCTCTTATTAATAGTCTGTTCAATTCTGGTAACATTTAAAATGCCTGCAAAATCTTTAACACGGAAGGAGAGATAACTTTCGCTTCTGTTTATAGAATTTTGCAACGCAGTTATCAATGTCTCCAATTTTTGGTCGATTGGGATGCGAAACTGCGTTTTTACCAGAAGACGAATGTCGGGAAAATATGAACCAGAAACCAAATCCAACAGTATGACTCGACGCATTAATTTAACAATTTTAGTTATCTTCCAAGTTTCTATTTATAAAAAGGAGTTAAAAAATTTTTTAATAAACACGAAAAAGCACCGACATAAAAAAAAATCCTTTCATCAAATAATTACTTTTTTGATAATCCCAATTTAATTTCATTTTCTTGTCTTCACCATCATTAAAATAAATCGAAATACTCCATTTGTCTTTTTCGCAATCTCCAAAACCTTCAACCTTTTCTTGAAATTCCGGATCCGCTTGAAGTATCCTTAATCCGTCAACGAGTGGTACATCATGTTGAAAAGATGTTTTGATCCCTTTTATACCAAGTCTTTTTAATCTACACCATTCTGACAAAGTAAATGATGATGGCTCACTCGGCGGTATATTAAAAAATAATTCTTGTCCAAGATACAGAGAAACTCTTATTTCCATTCCAGGATCGCTTACTGGAAATAACTCGGAAAGATACGATGTAATTTGTGTTATGCATTGAGGTAATTGGGAAAAAATACCGAACGGGTTTAGAGGAGTTAATGCGCTTGGTTCCCATTCATATCGACTTTCGTCTAGTTCTTTGGCATCTCTATGATCACTTTCGTTGTTAGTGTTCGTTTTCATTCTCAAAATATTTTGGTTAGATTTCAAGTTATTAAACAACAAATCATAAACATCCGCATTAGATGAAGATGTTTCAGTACAATCAAATTCAAATTCTTCTTTGACCGTCTTGTTAATTTCTAAATTTATCTTGCTAGAGTCATCATTATCAAACATAACATAAAACAATTCTTTCCCCTTTGAATGGGCATTATTATCCTTTAAATCATATCTCCTGAAATGAATTTTTGGTGAATATCTTGAACAAATACTTTTATCCGCAACAACAGAAGCATCAAGGATCGTAAAACCAAGTTCAGGATATACACCAGGTCTTGGTTTATTTGCTTCATCATCAAGATAAACCTCTATTCTAGATTTTGCAACTTCACATTGACCATATGTTCCATTGATGGTTATTTTGGTACCATCATCATTAATTCTAATTTTGGCACCTGTATCTTCCCTTAATAAATTTAAATCAGAATTGAATTGCATAAGCAAAAGTTAAAATAAAAATTTCACGAAATCAAAAAATAAGTACAAAACAAAAAATAAGAAAAACGAATATTATTTACTCGATTTTTTTTATATTTTTATATTTTCTGTCAAATAAAAATTCGGATTTTTCTTCAGGTATTTTGAAAGTAAGTATAGTTTTTTTAGATGCAAGCATTGTATTCGTGGCATATGGAATAGCAGTGTCAAAGTTTGTTCCTCAAAAAAATAAAAAAAAAAGGGCAGAAGTCAAAATAAATTTTTTGGGAAAAAAAAGCAAACATTAAATATCTTTTATTTCGGGATAGTATCACATGATACTCGTTTAGAATCAAGTTTTTAAAGTTCAGAAAAACAAGCCTTCTGCTTAAAATTGCTAGTCACATGTTGAACACACTTGTTACTTGACAATTAAAGAAATAAATAACGATAATAAGCCTAATTAAGCCTAATTATCTCTGATAACGATCACCTCTAAAATGGGCAATTATGAATTCGAACAATTAAAACAAAAATAATTATATAGTGATACAATTCTTAAATAACCGTTAATTTCCGTAGACGTGACATTTTCTGCACTGCGCCCTACACAATTTTAAATCTCTGATCTTCATTATACGTCACTAACTTAAAAAAAAAAGAGGATTAAAAAAATTTCTTCCATCCATCCATCAAATCTTTTGTTGAATTTTAAAAAACTTCAAAGATGGTTAAATTCTTGAAACCAGGAAAGGTGGCAATCGTCTTATCCGGTCGATATGCTGGAAAAAAAGTAGTAATTGTTAAAGTTTATGATGAAGGCACTAAAGAACGTCAATATGGACATGCCATCGTCGTCGGTATTGAAAGATACCCATTAAAGGTCACTAGAAAAATGGGACCTAAACGTATCAACAAAAGGACAAAAGTCAAGCCTTTCATCAAGATTATAAACTATAATCATTTGATGCCGACTCGTTATACTTATGAATTGGAAGAAATTAAACAAACGGTCACCTCGGAATGTTTCAAGGAACCTTCTCAACGTGAAACCGCGAAGAAGGCTGTAAAAAAAGCATTACAAGAAAGACATAAAACTGGGAAAAACAGATGGTTCTTTACTAAACTCAGATTTTAATTTTGGTGGAGAAAGGGGAGAGAGAGATCGAGTGTCTTGCGGGGATTAGTAAAAAAGATTGAGATATGTAAAAGAACATCATGTATTTGTTATTTTCTTAGGAAAATTTTTTTTTTTATAATAATAATTCCAAAAAAGTCGAAAGATAATTTCTTTATATTTGATCATAAATCAATCATTCTTCTTTATTCTTTTTTTTTATGATATATATAAATGGTAAAAACAGTGAATTTTCTTATGGTTTTTTTTTTTATTTCTAAATTTATCTATCAAAGTGCAATTGGATGTTGTGAAATAAGAAAAATGTATTATTTTATGCTTATAATGTCTTTTTGAGTTTCATCAGTATTAAAATTTTTAATTTATTTATGAATGACATGCGGATTTCTCTTGAGTTTTAATAGTTATGAGCAAGAAAAAATGTGTTGTGTCACGTGACTTGATTCGAACAAAATACTTTACCTTTATTTTTTGTACTATATTAATCACCCCAAACCGAATTAAATTCACTAACATCCTTCCACGGTTCAAAACTTTGCTTATTTTGATATGGACTTGCCGAAGCATTACCTTCTGGTTCGGAACTTTTGACCGTTGAGGCATTTCCTTCTGGACTTTTATCATTTAAGTCATCTTCCTTCAAAGGTTTATCTTCAACATATGTTAACTTAAATTCCTCATAACCATCTTCTAATTCCTTTAACCAATCAGGATGCAATAAAAGTGTATTCCACTTTTCGCCCGACATCAATGCTCCTTTGCGATTTAATTCATTTAGTTTATTCATGACAACTTCGCGATTTTTCCGACTCAAAGAAGTGATTTTGCCATTATTAACAATAATTTTTGCCAAAGAATCTTTCCTGATGGCCTTCCAACAATATGATGATATTTCCACCATAAATTCACTATCCTGTAATGAAAGACCTTTCAACTCAAAAAATTTCTTGCCATATACTTTAAGCATTGTGTCAATTGAAACCCCAGGAAGACGAATCTTGAAATCATAATCCGTTGGGAAATTTCCTTTTTCAGTTTGTTCATCTGAATTTGAATCAGAACTGTCATTTATCACTTTAATCAGTCGTCCATCTTCAAATAGTCGATCGATAACACCAAGTACCGCTTTACGACGAACATCTGTTTTCGGTTTTGTTGTAGTCCAACGCTGATACCTATTTTCAATATAGTTTATAATCGTTTTTGTTCCTAGATCCTTATTTTTTTTTAAAAAAAAAAAATTAAAATAATCGATTCATGAGTATATATGTTTTAAATAATAAAGATACAACTTGGCAAACCTTTTATAATACAATTCTTACTTTGCCTTTCTGATGTCCTTCTATCAATAGCAGATAAATCTCATCGTCCTCTTCTTTTACACTTAATGGATGAAGTTTCTCATAATTAAGATAAACATCGTTCATCCTATCTATTAAAAGGTTCTCATACACTTGAATTCCAGCAAAAGCATCAGATGATGTATAGCGTATTATTTCCGAATCCAACTTAGCTGCATCAAAATTCCACTTCAATATCTTTTTGGTTTTCTCCAATACTAATCCGGCATCACCAAACATTCTAGTTAATTCCGCTAATGATCTCGCTGCATATCCCTTTTCTTGAGCGATTTTCTCAAGATCAATTACCCCCTGCATTTCAAAGTCGTAGGATTTTTTTATCCAACCCGCATCACCTGACGCATTTACTCCAACTTTTTTAATATCTTGATTTGTTAAAATTCGTTTAAGTAAAGGCGGGAACTTGTCTGCGCTTCCATTAGTAATTTTATATACTTGAAATAGAAAACATAATTCTCTTGTGGCTATCTGAATCATTGAAACAACTTGGGGATTATGCCTCCTATAAACTGTAGTTTCCGTATCAAAACCAACATGTCCCGTATGCCAATTAGGGTACCTTTCGAGAATGCTAAGACAACGATTAGCTAATATATTAGCCGAAAAGTCGTTAATATTTATAGCAAATGCACGAGTAAAGTATTAACGATTTGGAAAATATCACGAACCTGTAAAAGCATTTGCAATTTGATACACAGGTGGGTTGACTTGAACTTTTGGGATTTCGTTTTCGTCTAAACAGACAATTAACGAATGTGGTTTTGGTTGTTTTGGTGAATTTTGACGTGATGTGGAAACAGCTGCTGAATGTGATTGTATGTGGCCATACATTTTCGCTATGTTTGAAGGATCGGAATTATTAAAAAAATTGTAAAGCAAGCGCACTCTATGATAGTACATTATTCAATTTAGGCTTTTTATAATTGTCTAACGGTTTTAGCTTTTTGATGCTTGTTTTATCCAGCTGTTATACAATAGTTACATCGTACAAACAGTGTCGATTTTTTTTTTCTCCGCAGAAGACTGAAATATTTTCTTTTGGATAGTTATAACCAAGTTCAACATAAAATAAATATGAACACATTAGGGCTAAAGGGATCAAAGATAAAAACAATTTAAAAATTGCAGATAATCTTTTTACCTTTAATAAATTTTTACTAAACTATTTCGAATTATCTTCTTTAATGATTTAATGATGAATAACCGCCAGATCTTCCAATTGATTTTCCCTAACGAAATTCGTGCGATTCAATCTTGTGAAACATTTGCCCACATCAAAACGCCATCAATAAAAATATATTGTTCCGAATCTTTTTTTATTATAAACGAAACAGTTCCTAACTGATTATTTTCCGATTTTTCTTTGTTTCTTAACTTAATAAAGGTCCTTTATCCCAACATTCCTTAAATTCAAATCTTATTTTCTGTCCAAGTTCAAGAACAAAACATGTCCTTTAACGATTTGGAAAGAGGAATTGGATCTGGCTCCAGCAGTCGAAATGGAAGATTTTATGGTGGAGTTTCGATCTCAACTTCAGGTGGTAAGTATGTGATATCAATTTTGTTTATGAACTTTGAATCCTCGGTCCACCATTTAAAGACTATTTTTTTTTTTTTTGGTCCAGGGTTTTAAGCTTTCTGTAAAGAAAAGCTACGCTGAAATGATAAAAGAGTTTATTCAAATTATTTTCTTGTTCCCTCCCTCCCCCACTCTTTAGACGAAGATACGCGGTATAAGACCCTAAGCAAAAGTATATCCCAACAGGTTTTTAATATTACGAGTAATGTGGCCAATATACATAGGCTTGTTTCGTATCTAGGAACAACAAAGGATACACCAGAAGTAAGAACGAAATTGTAAGTTGTGCAGTCTTTAAATTTTACGTTTGCTGAAGTTAAATACTGTCACTAATCTACTCTTTATATAGACATACATTAACTGAGAAAACGCGTGAATTAGTAAAAGAGACAAGTAATGAAATTAAACAATTATCTCATTTTCAAGGTACAAGTGGACAAAATGTAAGTTTGTTTTTGAAATATTTATTTAATGATTTCTATCAAATGAACTCAAGATTGTTCTTATTTTATTTTTATTAGCGTAAACTTGAACAACAAAAACTCTCCAAGGACTTTCAAAAGACATTAGTAGAATTTCAAAAAGTTCAAAGAATTTCTGCAGAAAAACAACGAGAATATGTCGATAAAGCGAAAGCTCTCAATGTCCGAAATGACATTTAGTAAGTATTGAAAATTTCTGATTGGTCGATCCCTAAGCAACATTACATATTTAATAATCATGATTTCTAACATGTTTTTAGTGAGGAAGAATCCGGCGTTGTTGAAGAGCAACCTCTTATTGATGACAGTCATCGAAGACTCCAGCTTAAAGTCTTGGACAATGAAATTGAATACAATGAATCTTTGATTGCCGAGCGTGAGGGTGAGATTAGAGAAATTGAACAAGGAATCAATGAGCTGAACGAAATATTTAGAGATTTGGGAACTTTGGTAACGGAACAACAATCTATGTTAGGTATAGTAATTGAAAATTTTTAATTTCAAGTTTAGGTTTTTTCCGGCAAATTACTAAATTTACAAACTTTACACATTGAAAGACAACATCGAAAGTAATGTGACAAACATTGCTGTTAATGTCCGAAGTGCAGCTGATGAATTGACTATTGCGAGCCGTCATCAAAGGAAAGCTCGTAACCGCATGTGTTGCTTGATGCTTATTTTTGCAGTTGTTGGAGGGGTAGTGATATTGGCTGCCTTAACTTAAACTAAGGATTCAAGTTTAAAAAATATTTTTTTTTTTTTTTTATCAAAAGGATGGTGAGTGAACTATTCAAAACTTTTAATAGCCAATTCCATTTATTTATCCAACCTCCATAAATTTTATCTTCAAAAGTTATGGGACTATATATATATATATTATATAAGAAGGACTATTTAATATCCCCATACTTGTTTTAAGTGTATTTGATAGACTTGATTTTTCTTTATAAAGCGTGCATTCTATAATAACATTTTTTCTTTTCGATTTTGTAATGAAATACAATTACATATGTTTGAATTCTTATTTGTATGTTACATAATTGTATTTTTAATATTAAAAGATTTAAAATGAATAATAATTAAAGTTAATAATTTTATTTTATATAACAATTAATAAAACAAATATAACCGTACCTTCTTTATTATTAAGATGTGACCGTCAAATCTTTATCAGATTTTTTTTTAAAAAGGAACCGAACTTGCTTACAACTCATTTGCCAATTTTAATAAAATTCCGTTAAATTACTTGTATCGTAAATTTTTAAATTGTTTGCGCAATTAATATAATCTGCCGACATATTATTGTTAGTAAATACCTATAGAAGAATTAAAAATATTTATATTTGAAAATTTAAGAAAAAAAATAACACTAGCTATTTAGAAACATTACTAATAAGCCTTAGCAAATCTAGATTGCCAGATTGATCCAATTGGTCGTTTTTCTTCAATCGATGATGCTAAAACGTACCAGGTGATATCGATATGGCAATAGTTATGTCACAGAGCTTTTAATTAATACAATAAAATCCAAAAAGCTGACTGCGTAAACTTATTTTCACTTAGTGTATATAACTATAAAAATAATGTTTAAATACGAAATTTTATAGTAACTTATAATTTTTTTATAATTATAATAGTTAAATAAGCATTTTTATGATATTTAATTAATAATAATTTAAAATACAAATAATTATATATATATATATAATAAAATTAATAATATGAGGTATGTTTAAGATTGCTAGATGAAATTTAAAGATTAGCAAATCATTTAAATAGTTAAAAATTATATTAAAGTAAAATTATATCAAAACTTATAAAATGGTAAAATATATTAAAATTTTAGTAAAAATTAGTAAACTAAAGATTTAGATATTTTGCTAAATATAAAATAAGTTTAGATAAGTAAGCTTAGATATGTTATAATAAAACTAAATATTTACATATGATAGCTAATATGGTTAGGATATTAAACATGTAACTGATATAAAAAAATGTCAATCTTTTTTATGTAAAAAACAAAAAATTGTAAATTTTAATAGTTTTATTTTAAATTAATAATTTATAGTTATTATTTATTTAATCAAATGTTCTAATTTATCTAGTCTATTAGTATCTTAATTATAAATAATAATTATCATCATTTTCGAATTACTGTAATTGGCAACAATTTTTGCTTAAATAAAAAATAATTGATTTCAGAACTCAAAAAAAATTATATGCGATATTAGAACACTGTTATATCACTTTCTTTGTGTTTTTTTATCTCTTATATTATATTTTTCACTAATAGCATAGTAAACTGGTAAGTTTTGATTCTAATGATTCCTAAAGATTTCTAATATTATTACTAAAGATTCTAAAGAGATCCTAATACTAATATATTTATAAGTAATAAACTAATACAATACTATTATAAATAAAGAACATCATTGAGTCAACTATGCCTTAAAAATTAAGTGAAGATTTATGCTGGCATTTTATTTATTTTTATACCAAAAATCTATCTACTGTAAAAATTACTAATATATTATATATGAATAAGAATGTTATAAATAGTAATGCTACCTAAATTAATTTTATCATGACTAAACTTTCTTCAAATTTTGTGCTTAACTAAATCCTTGACTAAAGTCTTAACTTTGATTAAACTTTTAGCAAATGACTAAATGATTAAATTATTTTATAATATATAATTTATAAATTTTTTATTTATTTATCTTTATTAAAAAATATATTATTATTATTTAATATTTTATTAATTTTAACTTAAATCTTTTATTATTTATATTAATTAAATATATAATCATAAAATATTACTAATTAATATTATAAATAAGAATTATTTATCCCTTCAAGCATTTTGCAGGCAAATTTGCCTACAATTTTATTAATAATTAAAATTATTTATAATAATTTTAAATAATTTATTTAAAAATTAATATTTTTATAATAAATTTTATGATGTTTTCTAAGTAAAAATTCAAAAAAACATGT